GCTCCGACAGTCCTCTGATCTTTACAATATTAATATTATGATTATCCTAATAAACTCTTTCCAGGCAATTGTTCACGAAGTCCTCTCCTTTGACACTCTGATTCTGAACTTTCTCACCCTTTAATCTATCACTCTAGTATCAGCCACTTGTGCTGCAGCAGAGGTCAATGTACGGTTCAATGTGGAGCTCCTGTCACAGGGTGGATTGCAAGCATGGCCGCAAGTGCGGCGTCCCTGATCTTGAGTCTCATTCAGGAGGTGAACGATGCGAGCAGGGGTATCAGGTTTCACAAGATACAAGGAAAGAACCTCAACGCGCGGATCCAGTTGCTCAAACCACAGGTAGAGACAATCCTCAAGGAACCACAGCTTGATTCCTACTCCACAGCCCTCTCTTCCCTCCAACTTCACCTTAAGAATGCTCACAACATCTTTTTGAAATGTTGCGGGAGCAAGCTGTCGAGGATTTTGAATTACAAGAGCATTATGGACGATATCATCCAGGTGAATACGGACATAACCAATTCCTTGGTGGACATCCACTTTGTTCAACAGCAGAAGAACGGTGATTTGCAAGCCCTCATATTGGAGTTCCTGATGGGCGTGGGAGAGCCGGATCCTGCAGAAGTGCCGGAGGACGCGGCAGAGTTTCCCAAGTTGCAGCGGAATGAACCGACGGCTGTTATTAAGACTGTCAACAAGTTGAGACAGGAGGGGTGCGTGTCAGATGCTGACGTCGAGGTTTACAGGCAGGACCTGGAAAAGCTCAAGCACCAGAATGAGGAGTTGCACCGCCTCATGTCAATGGCCGCTGAGGGGCAAGAGGAATACTATGTGAAGAAGGCTGCTGCTGAGGATGTTATATTGGACCAGCTCATTGCATTGCTGGAAAGCTCGGAGGCGGTCCGGGAAGAACATGTCAAGGAGGGGTCTGAGCCAAGCGTGTGCGAGGAGGGCGGTGATGCAAAGAAGGAACCGCAAGTCGGGGGTTCTGACGAAGTCAGTGCGGGTCCGGGGATGCGTGTGACTTTGCCGTCTGCCTTTCTGAAGTCGTTTCTTTCGGTGACAGGGGTCCTAGTGGTTGTGGTGATTGCGATCGCCGTTCACTTGGGCACTACTACCAATCCTGGCAAGTGTCAGGGCAGAGACCCGGAGCAAAAAGCGGTGTGCTATCGGAAGGCAGCCGAGCAGGGGGTTGCAAAGGCACAGTTCTCGTTGGGCCTATGTTATGCTGGTGGTTTGGGTGTGAGTAGAGATCCTTTCGAGGCCCTCTCTTGGTATCAAAAGGCCGCGAACCAGGGATTGTTGGCTGCACAGTATATGTTGGGCTTGAGCTACGAAGGAGGCTGGGTTGTGGGCAAAAATGTATCGAATGCTTTGATTTGGTATCAGAAGGCTGCACTTCAAGGCCTTCCGGAGGCACAGTTCAAGGTAGGCGTCTGCTATGAGACCGGGTGGGGTGTAGACGAGGATGCCTCAGAGGCGGTGGCTTGGTTCAGAAGGGCCGCCAGCCAGGGAGTTGCGGAGGCACAGTTCAAGCTTGGCGTCTGCTTATTGGACGGATGGGGTGAGCGGAAGGATGTCTCAGAGGCAGTGAATTGGTTCCGGGTGGCTGCTGATCAAGGCCATGCAAAGGCACAGTTCAAGTTAGGCCTCTCCTACATGCAAGGATGGGTTGACCGTAATGATGCTGCAAAGGCGGCCGCTTGCTTCATGAGGGCTGCTGATCAGGGCCTTGCAGAGGCACAGTTCCAACTAGGCGCGTGCTACTTCAAGGGTTCTGGTGTGCACAAGGATCTTTTGAAGGCAGCGGCTTGCTTCAGCAGGGCTGCTAAGCGGGGCCTTGCGGAGGCACAACAACTTTTGGGCGTTTGCTACATGAAGGGATGGGGGGTTTATGCAAATCCCTCAAAGGCGTTGGCTTGGTTCAGAAGGGCTGCCAACCAGGGCAACGCAATGGCACAAGTAAATTTGGGCACTTGTCACGAAAATGGTTGGGGTGTCGAATCAAACCTGACGGAGGCCATTGCTTGGTACCAGAAGGCCGCCGACCAAGGAGCCTCTGATGCACAGTATCGGCTGGGCGTCCATTATCGCGAAGATGCGGGCATTCATAAGAATGCCACAGAGGCTCTGCGGTATTTTCAGCAAGCCGCAGTGCAAGGGTTTTCAAATGCTGAATATGCTTTGGGTGTGTTGTACTCCAAGGGCGAAGGTGTGAGCAGGAGTGATTCAAAGGCGCTGTACTGGTTTCTGAGGGCCGCCAAAAATGGCAATGTAGACGCTCAATATGCCGTCGGCAAGGGCTATGCTGACGGCTACTCCCCTTTTCAAAAGAACACGAAGGAGGCAGTGTATTGGTATCATGAGGCCGCTAACGGAGGGAAACCAGAAGCACAACTGGCTTTAGGGCTTTGGTATGCTGAAGGGAAGGGCGTGGACAAAGATAGTGGCAAGGCAGTGCTGTGGTACCGAAGAGCCGCAGAACAAGGAAATGTGAAAGGGCAATCTCTCTTAGGTTTGTGCTATCAAAATGGTATAGGAGTGGGAAAAGATCTGGTGCAGGCAAAGGCGTGGCTTTCAAAAGCTGCTGCGCAGGGCGATGGCATTGCTAAAAAGCACTTGAAAGTTGGAAAGGCATGGTGGTGGTAGGAAAGTGAATGATATAAGCAAGGATTGCACTAATCCATCACGCGTCATATGCTTTCGGTTATCTTCAGCATGGTGATTGCCTTACATTTGTGACCTCAATTGCGTCCTAACTTATGTACGTACAAGTTCCATCACAAGCCATAATGAATGTAAGCGACTCTTGATATGATGTGTCAACCTCGTGTCAACTCTCCACTCGATGTGCCTCAAGCGCTATTGGTCAAGCCTGCTCACTGTCAGTACTCCGTTTCAAACCTAGCAAATTGATCGACTTGGCAAAATTCAGGTCACGTGCCTCGTCCAAATTTACGCAGATCCAAGGCATGGGTTGTCTCAGGCTGGTAGTGGGTCAAACACATGATAGATCCACGTTGCATGCATGTGAATATGTTTATACATACGTTTGATTAGCTCTGCTATGCAGTCAATCCATGCACATTCGTTGACTGCGATTCCTCAGTTAAGATTATATTCACCATCCGACGGATGCATTTACTCGTTTGCACATTGCATGGACATGTCAGTAGCACATGTTAAGTTCGCAAGTTGCTTGCTGGCTGAATAGGATCAAACATATTACGCGTTCGGGATCACGACGGTTGAGCGCCGAATCGGAGCTCGGGATCATTATTGTAGACAAAAGCCCTTAGCATCTAAGCAGGCTGCTCCGACTGCCCGACTGCTGGGCCTTCCTCAGACTTTAGTTAGACGCCAATTTCGGTGTACCCTGCCCGTGTAGGATAGGAAGCCGAAGGTCGAACCACGGGCCTTTAGTATAGGCAGGTTTTGAAAGCTTGGTCATTTGCAAGCCACAGGATCTGTTGTAGCCCTCTTGAAGCCTTCTTGAAGCCCTGGGTTGGCTGCCGCGTCCTGCTCCAACGACTTTTTGAGGTCCTCTGCGGGTTTCGCTGCCTCATCGGGGCTCCTTTTGTCGTTTGGCAGAACGGCGAAGTGCCGCAGGAAGCTGCGCACGCGGGCGGATCTTCGTGCGGACATCTGGCCCCGACACTCGTTTCCGTTTGACACCGACCTGCTGGTAGCGAAGCAAAAGGAGCTTGATTAAGTACGGCTCACGAAACTTGTCTTTCTTTGGAGTATGTGATTCGCGGCAACGTAAGTAGCACTAAGGGGTGCACACTTGTCTTTGACAATATCCTCCAAACACAATTTCGGCCCGCCCAAGGTTGGCGTGAAGTAATTGCTCGGCGCAAATGGACTGAGGAAGAAAGGCAGCGGGATTCATCTGGGGCGGACAGTCTTCTGCGGCCTTTCTCCGGGTTCTTCCCCGAAAACGTCTACAACAAAGAGGAGGCCAGCGCAAGAACCCCGACTCTGCTACTAGCCCCGAGTGCTGCCCCAAAGGAGACAATTACCCTCCACTTCGATCAAATGACTCTGAGATCGTTCCCCGCAAAAAACACACCACCGAGGCGCTCATCTTGTACAGCATCGTGAGCTGCGTCTCCTCGTCAAGATGTGCGCTGACGTAACAGTTGGCCTATCCCCGACCGGGGGACCCCTCGGAGGCCCGTGCACCGGGGCGGTGCTGGCGAGGGGGGTCAGCTCGTGGAAGTGGGCCGCGAACAAAGTGGGCGCGCGTGTGACTTCGGTCAGATACACGCAAATTGCCCACGCAAGACCTGCAGTGCATTGAAAATGGTGAACACAGTCAGCAAGTGCGATAGTCTGGCCCAGGATCGGGAATGGTGACAGTTTGAGGACGCGAATAGAGCGGTGCGCGCGTGACTTTGGTCGGATACTCACGGATGGTCCACGTCGCGAAACCTGCCGAAAGTCAAGGTTTAGGACAACAGCGATAACGATGGTTTTTAGAGGTGGGTTGCGAACAGAGTGAGAAGCGCCTGATGTCAGGCAGGTAGCGCAAACAGCCCAGACGAGACCTGCAGATTGTCAAAACGAAGTCAACGGGCTCGGCGAGAACACTAATCTGTGAGACGGAGACAGACTTGCGACGCGCTTGACATCCGACAATATCCACAAGGGCCAACGCGAGACCCGAGAAAAGCTGGCCCGGTGGGTTGGCCTTGCTTCGTTCGTTCAGGGAACAACGTGTAAGGAGAAAACAACGAGCGAGAAGCTTCGGTGGGATTTCAAACCGAGTCTGAAAGAGCGGAGCATGCGCGTGCAGATGCTATATGCAGATGATATATATATGCACTCGCAGATGGCCTGAAACAAGGGTTGAAAACAAACCTATCCACCTCGAAGTCAGGGCAGAGCGCTCCTCCAATTCAAGTGATCTCAAAGAGACTGCTTGCGCGCGCCCTCAGGCAAGTGGTCGAAAGCCACGCAATAAGAGATTGTGCTGCATCACTCCACGGCCAGTGCCGCTTACGTCTGAAATCCAGAAGCGAACGGGACTGTCGTAGTCCGCTCACGAAGCCGTCGTAGGTGGACGTGCCCCGCCCTAGTTCGTCAATGATGAATGAGGAAGTTCTGGGTGGCCGCCTTAGGGATCGCGCTCATCTTCAGCATCTCCGCCAAGAAGTCGACACGCCGCGCAGCTCATGGCGCAGCGGGAAAAGCGGACGGTCAGGAAATGACGTGACTGCATGTCGACGTTGAAGTTGTAGTCTTCAAAGGGGAGTCTTGGACAAGACAGATTTTGACGTTGACTTCAGCCTTTGCAATAGACGACAGGCAGCGCAGTTGCAACAGCACAACAAACTGAGTCGCCTAGAAACATGCTTGACTGAATTCAACAAAACGAGTCCGCACGTCTAACGAGCAATCGAACAAAGGGGTCACGGCCTTTCAACAGGCTTCGATTCTGGTATCATTTACGCTTGAGCTTCGACACAATCCGATGAAGGCAGATGGAGGGGGTCCAAAGCCAGCAGACTCCTGATAACCCCGGCAACACTGGAAAACGTTCCGCCTCCGCTTGTTGACTCACCTGACAGTCTCCGCCGACGCGCACAAAGATGCAGTCGCTGCACGCTGAAGTTCGCAGAGTCGCAGGGCACGAAGCAGCCGACCTGGGCCATGAGCACGTTGACACCGACCTGGCGGATGATAGTCGACTTGCCACCCATGTTGGGGCCGGTGACCAGCTAGAACTACTCTTGCCGCGCACCTGGATCAGGGTTAATAGAATTAGCTAGGGAACCCGAATTTCAGGGGCATTGAACGGCCTTCTGATAGCTTTTTCCACCACGTAACGGCGTGGATCGGAAGGTCGTGGTCAAATGGAGCTCGCAATAATAGTTTTTTGACGCGGCGAGGGCATTGATGATATGATGAGTGCAGCCATTCCTGATGAAGCTGACGTCATTCTGGTCCTCGGCGCAGAGATATTGACACCAGTCCGCAGCCGAGGTGAACGCGTGATCAGCGTCAGCTGTATGCGCCAGGAGTAATTGTAACGAAGAGGAAGAATCGAGCGGACGGAACGCACCAGCTTGCAGTCGGTCTATGATTGCAAAATCCCAGGATTGCAAACTCTCAGGATATTGCATGATCCGACAATGTTCTCGCAAGCATAGATAATACAGCCAGAAACATTTGGAGACTTAGACTAGAAGCACAAACGAGCAAAATCCGGCGATCGATTCTGGCTGCCCTCCGCGGACTTCGTTCCATCGGCAGCACCTAGGCCGCTCTAGGTCTGTCCCCTTCCGCATTTTGTGCTTCCTATGTGGCTTTGTTAACTCCCTCGAAATACAGAAGAATGCAGAAAGAATACACAGAACAGCCATCACGAGCACCGGAAAGCCTCAGAGAGCTCATTTGACAAGGTCCGCCAGGCTGGCCCGCTTGGTCTCCAGCTTCCGCGCGAGGCGCTCGACGTCCGGAATCCGCTTGAGCTGGAAGCGGAGGTCCTGCCGGGCGGCTGCGTCCTCCAAGAACGCGGCCACGACGTCGTGTCACCGTCTGATCTGCACATAAAGCCGCGCGGAAAGAGAATTTAGAATGGCTTACTTTCGGGGGTCAGACAACGGCTCATGAGCCCAAGCCCTGGATCTTTGGCGATCGATCTGATGTTCGCGCCACATCTTTGTGGGCAAGTGCGTCAATGGGGCCTGCGAATGTCAGGAAGTCATGCGCGCGTACTAATGACTCTGAGTACCCATGTACTTGTTCCTTCCGTTAAATTCCTGAATCGGGATGAATAAGTCATCTGTCTTGTATAATGATTGAACTCTCGGATACATCTCGTGACTTTGCAGGACATTCCCAGGGATCCCAACTATGTAAGTAGATTGCTGTAAGGACTCTGAGTCACTGGAGACAGCCCGGCCCACACCGTCAGACTAGCTACCAAAGTGACCGAAACGACGAGACGAAGTCGGGTCAAAGCCGTAGTAGTTCAGAAGATGTCCCGTTTATTCAGTGGCGCCCCTCGAGTCGAACTTCCAGCAGAATATGATTATGGACTAGCAGAAAAGCATCGTAGCCCTGTCCGACCACTTGCGGGACCAGCACCTTCGAACTCACCCCTTAGATAAGCTCAGGGTAAGCTCTGAGTGTATCGACAATTGAGCACACTTTTGAGAGGGAATTGTTGATGATCGGCTTGAAAGGAATGGGAGCTTGTGAGAGGAAACCTCGACGAATATTTTGTCATCAGCCTAATCGCTCGAAGTATCACGCCGCAAGATCGTCCTAGAGCGGCCGGACGTGTGCTGAGAAGCTGGCAAACGACCGGCAATGATTGATTTGAATCCCTGTCATCCTGTCTTCCTGTCTTCCTATCTAGCAGGTCCTAAACACTGAAGCGTATCAGTAAAGAATGTCAGTGTATTCGAGCGTGGCGCCGTTCTAGCGGGCGGCGTCGCGTCGCGGCCGCTGCGCTCGTCCGTGTACAGAAATTTCGAACCATTGTAAAACCCTGCATCTCGCCGCGCAACCATGCGAGCGCGGCCGCGTGCCGATTGTAGCAATCGCATGTCCGTCACGTAGCTCCTCTGGATAGCTGCAGAACAAAGTTCTTTCTGCAGTTGGACTTCAAAAAGATTGTCGGGTACTTCTGAAAAGCACAGCCTCCTGGATCGGAACGAAAGTCCTCTCGTCCAACGCAATGGCAGGCGGAATCAGCATCACGAGGCGCGCTCTATCCCTAACAGCACCGGCAGCATCGGCGGTGCCATGCTTATCTGGTCAACACCTTGCAGCGCAGAAGGAAACTCTTGTGGTGGAAATCACCAATCTCCAAGACAGTGCCCCGCCTTTTCCTCCGAGCTGCTTCCACTCTGCTCTGAGGGCGCAGGAGTCTGCAACCAGGCCGGTTTTGTTTACCAAAGGGCTTGACGTGGTTTCGGAAGCAATCAGAAGTGCCCTGAAAGGTGGTCAGAGGTGCGTGCTTCTTGGCGAAGGTGTTCTCAAAGCTCCGTGGTACACAAATCTGCCCGGTGAGGGAAAAGCGTGGAGCAACAACGCCTTCTCCTTCTCTACAAGAGCAGAGTTAAGTCCTCAAAAGGCGGAGACTCAGAGTTGTTCAGAGAAGCGGGACAGCCTTTCGAAGGAAAACGGTATTGGTTCAGACAAGATGACTATTGGCATTCTGGATGAGTCCCAGAAAGGGATGGGCGTAGCCGGCCCCCCTGTGCAGGCTGTTCGCTTTGTCTTCGACCGGATAGAGGAGCTGGGGCGCAAACACGGGTATGAACTCAGTCGGACCATGGACTCAAGGCTCAAAGAACCCGTTTACAAACCACTTGTTGAGGAGCTGCTAAAGTCCTGGGACGCATACCCCAACGTCTTTGAAAGTGTCTTTTGGGATGTCCTCATGAAACTGCAGGCAGGGCGGCATACGTCATTCCGTGTGAACAACTTCGTGGCTCTATTTCTGGTGGATGGAGAACTAGCAGTGGGGAATAAACTGGGGGTCAAGCTCCTGGCTAAGATGCGCGAGAAGATGCTGGTAGAGGCGAGGACGAATCCTGACCCGGTGCAGGTCGAGAATCTTGCCAGCTTGGCTCGTGAAATCGCCCTTAACTTATACTTCGGGAAGCAGAAGGAGGCTCTGGGTCCTTTCTTGAAGGAGACCGGCTTTGTTGGCGATATTTCTGAGGACTTTCAGGTAGCGAGAAAAAAAAATGTGGCGGAGGCTCGGGCTTTTGCAGCGAAGATCACCAAGAAGTCGCCTCCTTGGGTTTCTCACACCCCAATCTCATTCGATTTGAGACGTTGGATAGCCAAGTTTCAAGAGGCTACTTCCTTGTTCAGCAGATGGAAGTGAAAGAAAAGCATCAAACAGGGGAACGAAGACGCGAGGGATTGTAAGTTTCCAAAGTAAAGTGACGTTCCCCTGTCTTGACTTGTAGAAACAAAACATCGCCATATGTCAATGTCCAGTATGATGTTTTACTTTGGAGGCCTGCAATGTAGCTTGAATAAGACACTAATCAGCTGGTTGCAACCTTTTTAAGCATTTGAACCGCAAGGCTTAAGCGTGCACGAATGAAGTGGCATAAATCCATTATCGACATGTCAAACTAGTGGCTGTTTCAACGACTTGCATGTCAAGTCATCCCGGCCGATTAACGGCAGCATGTTTAGAATACAAGCTAACACTACGACATCCTTGCAAGTTCTGCCCGCCAAGGTTGCGTCGACCGACAATCCGATTGATACAGAGGCATGACTCCATGAATAGTCTAAAGTCTATAATGGATTGTCCGGCTCAACCAATCATAAATTCATGCATGTAATAGAGGGCATGGCCAGATTAGGCTGGTTATTTCACTGTGGATACGATTGTCGTCCCGCCTATTGAAAGCATCATTACTACGTCACCGTCAGACCGCTCCTGCAATGCCAGCTTACAACCTGAGAAGCATGGGCAGTGTATGTCACCATCAGAATGCTCATACAGTGCCAGCTTACAACCTGAGACGCATGGGCAGTATGCTCTTGAAAATCAGATGAAGGTCGGTTAAGCGTCTTGATTCTAATTACGAGAGTCTTCAGGTTGCCAATGCTTGCGAAATAACTGCAGCGCCCCTAACGCTAAGTCATGGATGAAGTTGCCAAAAATGCTCGCATTTTCCGCCTCGTATCCCAAATGAAGGCCTCTTTTCTATGGTGACCTCGAGCAGAGAAGGTTATCCCCAATCCCTTGGCGCGCGGCACCACCGCAGAATAACCGACTCGATTACTCCAAATCTCGCTGTCTCATGCGCCCGTCTTCAACGCACAGCCAGGGTGTTACTAGTGACTATTGACGTGGAGCGATAGTTCCGCCACCACTACCAGCGTTCTCAACACGTCGTGACTGCCGCTCACACCCGATCTGCGTTCTCAAATTTACGCTTTTAATCTGTGACGCTTCTAATCACAGATCTCCTGCAATGGACCTAAAAGTCAGCTATTTCCGCTGATCTGGCAGAACTAGTGACGCCTTCTAGTTTCTGACTTGTCCCAGCCGCTACTCGGAGCCTCGGAAGCATCTTGTTATTTTCGGCAAGCTTGGTAATTGCCAGCCGTTCAGTTGGCACCAGTAACAAGGCGGTGCTCATATGAGAAGCGAGCAGAGCGCGCAGCAGGTTGCTATCCCTACTTTGATGACCGGAGTGATTCGGCAATTCGTTGGCCCGCTAATACGCTCCGTTGAAGGTCTCAAACTTGACTCCTGCTTGACCCTTACAAGGAGCTCAGAAACTGCGGCCGTTCGGAGTCGCAATCGCAACGGCTCCAGGTAACACATTGTAAGAGTAGAAACAGTTGAGCAGGGCATTCGCAGTGCCGCCCCGCCTCGGCGTCGGACTCGGCGTCGGAGATATCGCCATCCTCCCCTCTGCCGACTGGAGTCATAGCCTCAAGAAGCAGAAATCAACTTAGGAAAGTATGAATGACAGATCGAACGGATCCGGAATTCGAAGTACTGGAGCTAGCAGGTCGTTGGCAAGAAGCACCTCACCTCGGGCACCGCCAAAGTGCCTGCACGGGCAATTGCTCGCCTACCTTGGCCCTTTCTGCCATGAAGTTTGATTCTTTTTTCAGTTGATGTGGCTCGCTCTAGACTGACGTTGTGGGACTCCAGGGGACTTGAGCTTTAGAATATGCCCGGCCGCTGGGTACGTTGCTTCGCGGCCGCCCGCTGCGACCGTCCGATCCAGTGCCGACTTTAAATCATTCTTAAACCCTGGGAAGTTGAGGCACGCAACCGGGCGCGCGCGGCCGCGTGCCAGCGCGGCGCCTGCACGTCATGCCGTATACGCACCCTTCTAAGTCATTCTTCGGCAGGAGGTAGTGGAATTTCTCTTCCTCCAAACCGCATTCCCACCGATCAGTTTCACAGCCCTCTTGCTGAACAAAATGGCTGCAGGCAGCGCCGGTTTTGCGAGGCGCGCTCTCTTCTTAGCAGCACCGGCAGCACTGGCGGTGACATGCTTCGCCGGAAGGCAGCATTTGGTGCACCAGGAAGAGTTTGTGACGGACAAGACCTGTTTTGAACAAAACGCCTCACTTTTCCCTCCGAGCTTCCACGCAGCACAAACGGCGCACGAACTGGCTAACGGAGGATTGTTCATCAAAGGGCTTGACGCGGCTGCTGACGTCATCCGGGGTGTCCTGAGCGACGGTCAGAGCTGCCTGCTCCTCGGCGCAGACGTCCTGAAAGTCCCGTGGTACACGTGTCTGTATGACAATGGAAAAGCGTGGACCAGCGACACTTTCTCATTCGCCTGGAGAGCAGCTGAAACGATTCCTGAAGCCATCGACAGTCAGCCTGATCCAGAGAAGTCGGAAAGCGACACAGCCGGCACCCCTGCGCAGGCCGTTTCTTATGTCTTTGGCAGGTACAGGAGCTGTGCAAACGCGGGTACGATGCTAGTGGGAGCGTGGACGCAAGGGCCAGAGACCTGGTGTACACACCGCTTGCTAAGGAGCTGCTGAAGTCTTGGGACGCGTACCCGGACACTTTTGAGAGTGTGTTCTGGGATGCTCTCATGAAACTGCAGGCAGGGCAGTCCACGGAATACCGTTTGAACGATTTCGTGGCTAACTTTCTGGTGGATGGAGAACTAGCAGTGGGAGATAAAATGGGGGCCAAGCTGCTGGGGTATGTGGTCGCGAAGATGCTGGTAGAGGCAAGAACGAACCCTAACCCGGTGCAGGTTGGGAATCTTGACAGCTTAGCTCTCAAGATCAACCTTTCCTTGTGGCAGGCAAAGCGGAAGGATCTGCTCGGTCCATTCCTGAAGAACGGCTACTGGCAGAGTGCTTGAGGACTTTCGAGAAGCGCGGAAAGAGAACGTGGCGGAAGCCCGGGCTTTTGCGGCGAAGATCCCAAAGAAGCTGCCTCCGTGGGCCTCCAACACCACGACCTCAGAGAGATCTTGAGATGTAGGCGTAGTGAAACCCACAGGCTGCCTTCTTGTTCAGGATGCAGATCTGTCGGATGGAAGTAATGAAGAAGCGAGTCAGTTTCAAGGATGCACGATACAGGGAACGGCCTAGCGGACAGTTGGAATTGGTCTTAAGCCCGTCTTTAAGTCGTGGCTCATGAGTGACGCGCAAAGGTTACTTATTATGTACATGTGCACCGCGACGTAGGTCATTAGTGGCGGCAATATTTTGATCTCCACCAAATTTATACAAGGAATCGATCATATACTTGCAAGTATACCGTCCTTACAAGAAGAGCATGCACTATGCATGCACTGTCCTTTTTGACATGACTCGTCATATGCTGAATGTAATACATGGTCAGATGGAGCGCTCATGCAGCATAGCTTTCGATGATGTATTAAGAACTATGGGCAATTTGCTCATTGAACATTGGGTCATGCATCAAACGATCGTCCTGGCTTAAATTGCAACCAAGCTGCCAATGCTTACGAATACGATACAGAGGTCCCTAGCTCACAATAAGATCGCAACAAATTGTCAAAAAGTGCACGCAAGAAGCTGCCTCGTCTACTGGACAAAAACCCTCCTCTGTGATGACCTCGACGCAACTGAAGACCTCTCGACGCGACTAAGACGTGCATCCGCAACCCCTTGGCGGCCCCCACGTTGCGGCCCCCACATATAATGAATCGTTTCCTACTTTCTCTACCTCAATAGCCCAGTTCCAATGGATCGCCCGGGTGTTAGTAGCTTCCGGCTTATGAAGGACGGGGAGCAATTGTTCGTCCGCCAGCGTTCTCATTACAATCTCTCAATGAAGAGTGTCAGCCGTCCATACCCCGTTTGCGTTTCTAAACATAACGCTTCTTACTACTTACGTAGCTTCCATAAGCTGCAAGCCCAGCAAAGTTCCGGTAGTTCAGCAACGCTAACAATCTTTTTGTGTTCCTAACTTGTTCTTAACCCGTGTTCCTCATCCCAGACGCAATTCCGTTGATGGTGATGAGCAATGCGTCCCTCAGCTTCTGGTTACTCTCGTCCTGTCGCAGCCGTTTCAGGATCTCGACTTGCAGCATGTTGATGGGGTTCAGATGTGGGCTGCGCGTGTCAATAAGGCGGCGCAGCGTCTTGTTGTTCTCGGCAAGCTTCGTGTGGCCGCTCACCTGGCAACAAAACGGCGGTAATATGAGAGAAGAGTAGAGCAGGTTGCTTTCGGTCACTGAAAGATTATCGAGGAATGAGTGAACGCTTTGTTGAGGGTCCGCTTCTTCGCAGCTGATCGCAGACTAATTTTGGTTGACAGGAATAACGTACATGATTCAATCAAAAGCAAGGTCGTGACTTGCGATCGTGGTGCCTCCAGGAAGAACAACCAAGAGGGAAAGCACGAGACCGACGTGGGCGGGCCACGGCCAGCAGCGCTGCCGCGTCAACAACAAAATCTGCCCGCATCCTCCTCTCTGCTCAACGCCACCGCCTTGTTGAACTGACAACGAACAAAATTACGACAGCTGACGCGAAAGTAGAGCTAGCAGGTGAAGTCGGAAGGAAGAAGAAGCACCTCAACTCCGGTACCGCTACAACCGATACGGCCGATGGAGTCCTTCCCTAGGTTGGCCCCTCCGATCGTGAACCAGAGGGACTCCAGAATATAAAAATAATGAAAACAGAATTGAGCAAACACGTCAGAAGAACTGTGCGACAGCCACGCACAAGCAGCAGGAATGCGAAGAACCGCATATTAAACTCGACCACCGCCGCGACTGTGGCATCAAACGCCTCGCACCATTCAGCGCCAAACCTCGTTGCGCTGGCATTGTTGCTTCGATTGAAGTGGACTGTTCGCTCCGAAATATTGACACTCCCGATGAAGCACGATAACAGACAGAACAAAGTGTACCCCCAGCAGAAGCACAAGTATCCAGAGCGCAATGGACCGGTTACCTCCAGCACAACCAAACCGGTGGCATGAACTTCCGTGCAGCTTGGCGCCAACCCTCACGAGGGCTCACGTTGTCGCTTCCATTGAAGCCGTCCGAAAGACTGATACTCTCACAAACGATAACAACATATGACATTCCCGCAGGAGGACGAGTAGCAGAAGCGCACAATACCGTTTACCTCCAGCACCGCCGCAACGGTGGCGTTGAAGTCCTCGCGCAGCTTGGGGCTGAGATGCCAAACGTCCTCGTTACGAAGATTAAAGTGAACTATACTATTGACCCTTCCAATGAATGACGATAAAAGAAAGAACAAAGTAGTTATCAATAAGAAGAGGAAGCGTAACGGAATGCTTTACCTCCAGCACCGCCGCAACGGTGGCGTCGAAGTCCTCGCGCAGCTTGGCGCCCAGGCTCTTACGCTCGCCGGCGACGAGCACGTCGTCGTAGTGCTGCGAAATGGTCATGTCGGCCTTGGCGCACACCATCTCGATGAGGTCGACCGTGGACTGGAAGAAGGGCCACTGGCGGTACATCGCCTGCAGCTCCTCCGTGTGGCCCTTGGCCATCGATGCACGCAGGCCCGCGCCGACGCCCAGCCACGCTGGCAGGTTCAGCCGCTGCAGGTAAAATATCACCGAACGATTTGTGCCAGTATCTTTCAACGCTTTCCTGGCGGGGAACGCCCAGCCTGAACGGCAAGTCTAGAAGCTGCGGACAGGAGCACGATTGTTGAGCTTCAAGAGCCGTGGTTCCGTACTGAGTCTGTGCACGCAGACTGTCAAATGGCGTGAGCAAAACAGTCTCCTATTACCACCTTTCCGGTCTTGAGCGATTCAGGAACAGTTTCTAATCTGAGAATGTGCGGGCTACCACAAAGAAAGCAGTAGAGTATCGGCGAACTGCATGCAAGAAGTCGTTCAGCACGTTTGCGGGATACACGGGTCTCTTCAGACGCAAAAAGTAGGTTGTACCCTCGGAAGTCTCGGATTGAGTGCCCATGCAAGCTACAAAAGGCGTCGACTAAACGGCTCAGAAGCAACGGATCGTTAGAAAGACTGCTTCTGGTCCGAAGAAAGCAAACGAGCTATGGCGGGCGACTCCTTACGTTCTGCGTCCAGGCGAAGATCCAGGGGATGGCCCGCAGCTGGCGCACGCCGCCATTCTTCTTACGGCGCGTCGGGCGGCTTCCGATGTTGAGGTTGCCCAGCTCGCCCTCGGGGGTGGCCTCCTTGAAGTACGTCAGGAAGTCCTCGTTCTTGTACACCACGTCCCGGTAGTGCTCGCAGCTCGACTCGGAGATCTCCTCCATCACCTGGCGCCAGCTCTGCAAGGCACCAAAGAGAAGGGGCTGTTTACCAACCGACGGTAGATCTTGGGTGCTGAGCGGGCTTTGTGTCAATAGAGCGCGTTGGTGACGGCAAAAGTTGGGTTCCAAGAGAGCGCTGTGATGTTGGCGGAGGTGTTGGTAGCCTGCTTCCAACGAAGTGGTGTGCTTTCATTCACGGACCACTTTCTAAGAGGTGACTGGAAGGGTCGGACCGCTAATCTTAGCTACTCGAAAGCACGATTCCGCTAATTGCTTTGCCTCTGCGATCCAACGATTCTGGGCAACTCGAGGACAACCACTGGTTCTGAAGAGGGAGTGAGATGAAAGCCGTACAGACAGCCGGCGCTTGTACAGGCCTTTATTTTCCAGTTTTCCATTTCCATTTTTTATGCCCACCTGCTTCCTGGCTGGCTCCGGAGGGTGAATCGTCGCCAGCAGCACGGCCGTGGTGTAGATTTCCAGCTGGCGCAGGCACACCGCCGGCAGCCCAAACTTGGCTTGGATCATCTCCCCCTGCTCAGTCACCCTGATTGTCCCCTGGACCGACCCGGGGGGCTGGGACTGAATAGCGGTGTACATGGGACCACCCCCCCGGCCGACGCTGCCGCCCCGCCCGTGGAAAAGAGTGAGCCGGATGTTGAACTCGGAGAGAACGGCGACCAGGTCTTCCTGCGCTTTGTAGAGCTCCCACGCAGCGGTGAAGCGGCCGGCGTCCTTCCCGGAGTCGGAGTAGCCCAGCATGACCTGCAACCAGAGCGGCCGAAGATTTCACTCTTCTGCTTGAAAGTGAAATCTGCAGACAGAAATTCAGAAGAAGCAGCATGAAGAAAAAAAGCGGAGAGGCACAGCGAGCGTGATCTGAGATGGGAGCAAGAGTTTCCAGGTTGGAAACCGACAAATCTTGCGCTGTACCACAGAATATACTCGGTCAGGCGGCCATGTTGGACGGCCAGAGCGACAGAGCTCAAGGTGGCACCGGGCTCTAGGAAACGCCTCATGATCTGCCGGAGAGCCTTGAGCTCTACGAAGAACAAGACTGTGCTCATCCCTACAATTCCTAAACTCAGCCTTAGCCTGTTTTGCACCCTCACGCCCCCTGATCCCCTTACCTAACCCCACCCGTTCCAAGATGAGGACCCTAGACGCTTATTTTTCCGAAGGTTAAACTTTCTGAAGGTTAAAATCTTCAAACTCCATATTGAAGTCTCTTACCTCCTGGTGGCTGTCGTGGTTGTCGATCAGGTGCTGGAGGTACCAATCGACCGACAGCAGGCGGCGCATGGCGGCGCCCGCGCCCTGCAGATCGGCGACCGTCTCGAAGAGGGGCACCACGCGCAGGCTGCCCTTGCGCACGCCCTTGGAGTCGCCGTGCTGCATCAGCCGCGCCTCGCGCTGGAGCAGCTCCACCGCCAACACGTCACTCGCCTGCGAAGCAAAATCTAGGGTTTCAGTTTAACTGGTTTCAAAGATCCGAAAAGTCGAGACTTTCAGGGGTGAATCTTTGAAGGTCGCAAGGTTCAGAATTCCGATTTTGTGATATTTAACCAGGTACGTGCTACCATTTGTCCAATATATTTAGGGCTAGTATCAACAGGCGTGTTGGTGACTGTGCCAGCATACGAGCGCTCTGAAGGTATTGAGAAGTGGGTCTCGCGTTTCGACGTAGGTGGGCGAGTCAATCGCTCCGTTCAAAGAGGGCACTGAAAGGGCACACCATCCAGGCTTCAGCTGAAGAACCTCAAAAGTCCTCGTGTCGCAAGCCCAAACGGTGACAGATTGGTTCGCCGAACGGCCATGAAAGAGAAGGGACTAGAGAGGACCGGCCACACCAATAATCCAGATTGCCTGTGGGTAATCTCGAGCGAAAACCTTCAAGGCTGTGCTTGTAGCCTAGTTCCTGCGAATGGGCCTTTATTCGCGGAAAACGTTTCGGACACAGGGAGTGACTGCACTGTTCCAGATAAGGCCACTTCTGACTCACTTACGTCGTTCTTCGTATCGTGGTATCCTCAGCTGAATCTTCGTAGCTTCGACTAGAGCGATCGTTTGCCAAAGACTGTTCATGGCAATGCTTGAGGACTCCTCGGAGCTTCCTGCTTTCCGTAGGCCTTCGATCGCACTGTGTTTTCTTACCTCGGACGCCATGGAGATGACGTACGCTCCCAGCGAGCCGGTGCCCAGTTCCGCGGCGATCTTGAACGTGTCGATGACCTCCGCTACGGGCTCGCTGAGCTCGATGTTGTTGGGGATCAGCGGCCGCTTTCCACGCAGCTCGCTCACCAGGAACTCGAGCTTCTTTTCCTCGGTCCACTCCTTGTAGGAGCCCATCCCCAGGTACTCGGTCAGGGCGTTAATCGCCTCGGTGTGGCGGTCCGCTTCCTGCGGGCACACAAGGAAGATGAAGCTTAAGGGGTGTATCTGAAGAGCAACCCTTGTAATCTATAACCTGGAGTGCTGGTGAGTGTTTATTTTTCATATAAGCCTAACTCAGGGCAAACGGTCAGCAGTTGATGAATTCCGTATGGCGGTCCGCCTTATAAAGAGAGGGTGTGAAAGACTGGGGACTGAAGGTCTTAATATGGATTTCTGCTGACCTCGGATGAAAAGCCGTAGAGTATACGATGACGTCTGATGCAAAAAGAATAACGGACCTGGTCAGTCCCCTCAACGAAGCTCCTTCAATTCACATTCTGTCTTTCGCAAAAGAAAGAGCGGGCTACACGAAGCTCGATGATGAACGTCTTTCTGTGCGAGCCGCGCGCTTGGGTGGAAGTGTCCCGGGCACCCCTATTCATCTGTCAGCAGCACTCATGTGCAGGAAACAATACAAAGGTTGAGACGGCGTCTTTGGATGGCCACCAAAACAGATGACATATGTCCTTGCGAACATAACCAATCTTATTTTCAATGACCGAGCTTCCGACGGCTCGCTCCTCACCTGGCGCAAGTCCAGCTTCATCAGGTTCATTCCGAACGTGTGGCACCGGCGGATGGTGTCTGCCAGCCTTCCGTCAGCAATGATACCCGCCCCCGTCTGGTGCAGCGACTCGTAGATCGCCAGCAAAGGTGCTGCCAGCTGTTCTCCGGTCTCGTAGTACTCCTCCTCGGTAGAGGGAGGCTGGTGGTCCAGGAACTGCTCCATGCGCCGGCGGGTGTTCACGAGCTGAGAGGGGAGACGGAAGCAACGGCGACTAAATTTGATTTGAAGCCAACCGTGAGAATCTACTTTGGGATTCATCACGGGCGTGAGGATTGCATGCGGACAAGATAGTGAACAACCAGGACCAATGATAGAGGCCAGAGCGACGAAGGGCCCCTCAACGTACAGGGAAAGAAGTATGATAATGGCGAATGACAGATTTGTCGAAAGAGGCACAGCGATGTCCGACAGAGCCTATGCTTCTACCCCACCCGGAGATCATGGGGCACGGATACGCTCTCGCTTTATGTGCACTGCGCTGACAAGATTGTCTGTAGTCGCACCCAGGAAACATTCCTATGATTCAAAGAAAGCGAAGAAGGACCAGCATAAAGTGACCTCTGACACACTTGGTGCAGCACTTTGATTATGCAAAAAGCCCTCGTCTTCGTTCCGTCGTTTATGAGATCCCCAACCACCGATTGAAGGTGACAGGCAGCTGAATCTGAGCAACGACACCGCACTGAGCAGTGATATCCTCTGCAATGTTTTTCCATCCTTTCATCTCGCCTCACCTTCTGCCTGACGTCACCAAGGACCACGCGGTACGGCGCCAGGTACATCTGGCTGCCCGGGTTGAGCATCTTCTCTACGTTGGATGTCTTGAAGTTCGGGTCCGACGGGCGCCGCTTTGCCGACGACATTCCCCCGGTTAAGGGGGCTCCCCCGGCCGCTGGTGCGGACACCGGTTTCAGGTTCGGAGCCTGCACGAACGGGCTGTTTGCCACCCCGGCCGAGACGCCAGTCGCAGTCGAGACCCTGGGCGACGGCGCCGCGACTCCGTTTGCGGCGACCGGGTACGATGGCGCCGTCTTCGGCGACGGGCCGCCCTTTGGCGACGGGTTCGTGATCCCGGGGGCTGTGGTCCGGGTGGTGGAGATCTGGGGCAGCGCCGGGGGGGCCGTCAGGGCTGCCGCCGTGATTGCGGACGGACCCCGGGGAGAGGGTGGGGGGCCCGGGGTTGCGGCGGGCCAAAGGCTGGTCGGAGGCTGGGTGGGCTCGCGAGGCGAAGGCTGGCTGCTCGTCGGCTCCTGAGGCCTCTCCTGCAGAGCGGAACATTTTCGTCAGTGAGAGATAAGCAGCAAGTTTGGGGGAGTGAGCCGGGACGGTGGCGGCTGTCCACTGAGAGTCAGCCGGCGTCAGTCCTGAGGGATGCCGATTGGACTTTCCTGCTTGTGCACCCCTAGCATAGGTACTGCCGCAGCGAGTTCCATGCCTTTGCTCTTAAGCGAGGAAGAACGAAGAGGGGTAAGAAACGAGGAGCAGAAGTGGGACGGCAAGCATTAAAACAGTCTACTGTCTGGCAAAGGATTCCTCAAATTGTATCTCTTCACCATGCGCTTCCAGACTTACAGCCTCCGAGTGAATTGGCGGCTCGATCACGGGCTCGAGGAACTCATCAGCATTGATGCTGAGGTCCGACGTCAGGTGTACGCCTGGGGGCAGCGTCACCGTGCCCAGCTTGCTGGCGTTCGGCACGTGGCCCCAGTCGTGGTTGTGCTCGTGGTGTCCGTGGTGGTCCGCATCCTCCAAATCTGGAACAAGAGAGCGTCCGAAAGCAGGTTTTTAGCACGGGAGACCATGTACATATTTCTCTGAAGCTCTGGCTATACCGTTCTTCGAAAAGGTGCGGCAAGCGGAGGTCACGGCAACCCGACTCTCGAAGATGTTGGAAGTCCTTGCCCGCAGCGTCCAATAATGATAGCAAAAAGGTCCGAAAGCGGGTAGTCACGGGCTTGCCAAACTGGGTGCAATCGTGCAAACGTCAATATTAAACGACGACCAAGACATGTCGAAAAGGTAAAGATTTGGAAGGGATGACTTTCCAAACCGTGTCGCTAAGTATGAGACAAGGCCACCATCTCAGGGCCGTACAGCTTGAGTCGTGAAAGCTAAGCTCCGGATCCTTTGCTTCCTTTGTCAAAAGGGGCACTTCATCAATTGAGTTGGACGACGGATTGCGCACTGGGCTGGTAATCAAGCAGAGAAAAAGTAGGCTCGTATGTCGAATTTGTAAACCAAACAATTGGAGAAACTGTTCTGATCGAGGATTGAAAAGTTTGGCGAGGAACATGCGGGTTCATATGAGATCATCGGATAATCTCTGTCTGGTTATTAGGTACCAAACCCGGCAACAATCTCATGAAGCGGACAAGAAAATCTTGCTCACCCGCTGCACGAAGCTCCTCCGCGAGTCGCGCCAGCTTCTCGTTGCACTTGTCCATGGACAGCTCGAAGCGCAGCGTGTCAATCTCGCGGAGGTACAAGTCCGCTGCAATCCAGCGGGCTAAATAGGCCACCTCCCGGGTCACCTTGGCGGTCACGTTGGGGTTACCGTCTCTGTCGCCTCCCATCCACGAGCCGAAGTGGATGGGGACCGCGGTCAACGGGAGAGGGCGGCCCGTGTGCTGCAGGTCGTAGTACGGGGAAGGTGAGAGGGGACGAGGTGGGAATGGTTGCTCGAATGCTTGGGATGCATTGATGGCGTTCGAAGATAGAAGGAAAGCGACCGGAAGACGAGGGACCAGAAAAGGAGGTTCTCTTTGGAAGGCAATGGAGATCACGAGAATGTAGATGGATGAAAAGCGGAACAGGCTGTTTCAAGACATTGACGGCTCAGAACCCAGATGCACACGTCCAAATCTGACACGGACAGGACCTTGAGCAGGGCTCTCAAACTCGAGGACGAGGGCAACGAAGCACGAATAGCTCGTCTGATTATTTCTTATTTCGACCATTGGCGCCTCTTATTGTTTCGAAATCGTTCGATTGGCAGAGCGCTTAATCCACAACAAGGAAAGCGTTCCGGCAAAGCCTCACCTTCTTCAGTGCGTTGCTGACGCGCCTGAGGTATGCAGGGACGGCCTTCCATAGGGACTGCTCGACGATGTGAAGGCCGCCACGGGCCTCGTCAAGAGAGCTGGGCTTCGACCTCCGCAGCTCGTCGGTGTGCCAGAGGGAAACGATCTCACGCACCTAGAGAAAGAGAGAAAGATACCGTCACCCTTCCTGATAACTCTTTCTCTTCCAGAGAGATACAGTGACCGTGTATATTCCAAAGTCGGCGCCCCTCCTTAAGAGTGCTTGGAGCTTCTTGGCGGGTAACATGGAAATTCGAGTAATTTTCTGGTCGCGTATTTGTGTTCAGTTTCTCATTCTCGTGTGGGCTAACCAAATAAGCAGATTGGAAAAATATCACACAAATGAACCATTGCTCATTGCAGAAAAGCTTTTTTGCATGAATATCGAGAGCGACTTGGGCCATCAACCCCCGAGCTTTGAGGGCTGTTGATCAATCAGCTTGAAAAGCAGAAGGGCTCCGAAACAAAGCCTTTTTGTAAACAGCTCTGATTCTTGGAAAGAAGAACAGATGGGCAAGATGTTTAACTAAGTAGATTCACAAGCAGAAGATGTGCTGGCTCCTGTTCTCGTGAGCTGGAGCTGCGAGCGGCGCCTCACCATGTCCTCAATCAGGAGCTCCCTGTCCTCTGGCGCCAGATCCGTCCTGTCGTTCTTCTCCAGCAGCTGCGCCATACGGAGGTGCTTGTACTGCAGCGTGCGCCGGTTGATCTGTGTCGGATGCGCAGTGAGGACGATCTCCACCTCTTGCTTCAGAACGGCGTCGAAGACCTCCTCCGGAGACAGGCCGCTTGCGATGAGCCGGCCAAAAACGTCGTCGCAGGACTTGGAGAGAACGCCGCCAGTCTTTGTCTTACGGACTCTGTAAAACCGTGCAGTTCATCAGAGGGTGCAGAGTTGGAACTTGTTTCTCTGCTTAAGGGTCAATGTGAAGCGCCGAACGCGGTTGATTGAGATATTTGAAGAGCTGGCAGGACAGAAAAGGGGACTGTAAGACCGTTTGACAGAGTTACTTTCAAAGGGGCACTTTCGAGAGTTGTTGCTCTAACCACAAGAGATAGGATTAACCATAGCACTTGACCTTTTGAATTAGCGAGAGACCTCCAGAAACAAAGACACTGTGAACCAGGAACCAGTGGTGGTCAGTCCATAAGTCAAAGACAAGGAAATTGACTTAGCGTCCACTGCCTAACGAATCCGTGACTTACAAGATGTATGATAGCTCGCTTCTGGCCATGAAGGCCTTAGTCTTCCGATGAATCATATGTTCTGAGAGGAACTGCCTCAATCTAGGACGACCAACCATGCTGGACACACTGCTCTTCTGACATCTGCATTAGCTATTCACCTTTGCATCCAGGATTATCTGCCATATCCGTCCCACATTGCCTTACCTGTGGTGCATTTCTGCAATACCAGTCAGGGAAAGGTAATGCGAAAAGGCCCGTGTGAGCGGGACTGCTTCGTTGATGTCCATGCTCGTCAGCTCTTTGTCCAGAATTTGGAATAGGTAGCTAGCAGCATCGTCCACTCCTGACGCCTTCAGGTCTGACGCACTCTGCAGGGCAACACCGCGGTGTCAAATTATCAGATCAGTTTCAAAACACAGGAATGAGCGATCGGAAGCGCATGGAAAACCGGGAAACAACTTTCTACCTGATAGTCTGGACTTTTCTGGAATCTCACTGCATAGAAGCCTGAATGTCAGTGACTGCCTTGGGCCGTATGTCCATGAAGATCGCCTGAGGAGGCCACAACTCGGACGCAGATGCTTTTGGAACTGCGACAATGCAATGCATTTCCAAACTTCAGAATCCACAAGAGGTCACATCAGGAGATGACAGAAAAACTCACATGAGCCAGTGATCTGACTTTCTCAATCCGCGCCATGAATTCCTCTCCCACTTCATGCCTGAGGCAATCATCGAGCAGAGAACCCAGGAGCTTGCAGTCATCTTCTAGTGGCTGGAAGGACATCTCCTCGGCGATCTCATCTGTGGTGTCCGCCATGCTCACTGTCTAAGAAGGGGCGGGACTTTTCCCCCAAGGCGTCTGATTTGGGTCTTCTTGCTCCTTGAATGATGCAGATGGGACGCCCTGCAATAAGTTTGCAAGGATGTTCAGCTCCACTAAGCTCTATTGCCAACAGGTCTGAATATATATCAACCCAGCCAATCAGGACCACTCATTGTGATAGCAAGCCACAGACATGAGTCAAAAGCAACCTTCTTTCTCAAGCAAAGTCGTCACTGTGCGTCTCGTAAATGCCAAAAGGCTTATGAAACGAACAGGAGTAAGAGTGGAGTATACTCCATTCTTGCGTCCACTTTCTCTGACTGCTGCAAGCAAACCAAGGTCGTCATATCGTCTGTTGTCGCTGGTAAGCAAACCTTGCAACACCAGGGGAGAAGGCTGACGGCCAGACCTGGACCATACAGTTGCTCCAACACACACCAAACCTACACGAAGTTTGACCAGGTTGAATGCTCAAAAGCAATAGAAAGAGTGAGGGTCAAGGCCGTCTGATACTCAGTATTCTCATTCCAATCCTCTGGACAAGCACCGGTATGGTGACACCAGGTGGCTAGGAAGGCCTGCCTATACCAAGTCCCTTCCTGAGAAGCTTCTGAGGGATACATTGCATTCACTTTCAAAGGTCAAACTAGATTTCTGGCAAAGCACTTCGGAAAAGGCGGCAACAAATCTCACCTGAGACCTGATGGTGGTTCCTACAGTTGGATGCGTCGATTTCTATTGACGAGCCTCAACTAAATGCATATGTGAGGCGTTTCCAAAGTGCACTCTAAAGCTATCGCCAACAGGGTGATGTTCACAGGGTGCTGATAACACCGTCACACAGAGACATGCCACTCCACTCCAATGCCGAACGCACAACTTTGCCACTACGATCTTATGACAAGCATTCCTCCCGGCTGAGAACTTCCTTGGAAAGGGCCTGCATTTGCCTTTCCCCTCAACTCACTCTGAGTCTGAGCAACGTGACCCTGATCAGAAGCACAAGTTGTGTGACCACAATGTCCACCCTTGTGGCAGCACCAGAGTGGTGGTACCTCCAAAGCGCCTGCAGCCTCTTCTTCGTTCCCCTCTCCTCAAGGCTAGGAGGCTGTTCACAGCACAAGCACAGCAGCAAAGTCATGGACATGAACGAGCAAAATATGAGATAGTGTGAATGTGGAAGATTCTGAAGCCGGGATCCGGAACCGCAGAATCTTCGTGCACAAGCCTACCGTCGATGGGTGAGGGTTTCTGATTTCCTGCCTTCTTGCAGCCGTACGATCGGCCTTCTCGGACCGTCTTTTGCAAAGCTCGCCGGTAACGATCGGTAAAGGTCACGTCTGGCCTCGAGCAATTGGCATTTGTCGCGGCCTGCTTCGAAGCTGCTGCGTTACATGAAACATGCATTCGATATCGAAGCTACGTTCAATATGTTCAAGGACTGTCAGCTGTTCGACGGACACCATGCTTGCAGCAAAGGCTTGGCAGCTGGGTTCCGTCGTTGTGCAACGGTGCCGACATCGCGCGCGAACCGGAATAAATTGCGCCGAACGGAACTCAGTGACTCCGGTACTAACCATACGATGGTAACGTTACGGTATAGTACCGGGTCTGGGTGACACGGGATCGACGTCACGTAAGTTGAGACTTACAAAGTTATAGACTCTAGGTAATATCTTTAATCAAAGTGGGCTAGGAGGGACACAGGGATTCCCACAACTGGCAGCCTGGGGCGGACCTGGCTGGGCCGGGAAGGGACCCTGGCTGGTGCCGAAGGCACCCCGCCAGCTCGGTAGCTGGTAAAATCAACAGGTCCGTAGGGCATTCAGCTGGCCGGTAGAGCCAACCGCCTGCCCCCCAGCTGGTATGACCGGGGGGCTGCCTGTGGCTGGCTGGCCGGGACGAAAGTCCATGGGAATCCCTGGAGGGACACCGCCCTTCGGGCGGTATCCTCCCAGTACGGGTTCAGTGGCTTCGAGGCTCTGCCAAGTACAAACCGCCGGCCCGGTTTCCAAGCTGATGAGGCTAGGTCTTTGTGCTCGATCAATGATCCCGGTGTTCCTCCCCGGGCGCTTCTAGGTATAACCGGCCTAATTCTGATGGCATATCAGGTCGAATTCTGGGTGGATTTTAGATTGCTGCAGAAGTCGAGGAATTGCTTTCAGCGGGTAATTGCGGCGCGAGCACAAAATCTAGGTTATAGAATGCACTCGCGTGGAAATCAAACCTGCAAATTGCGGCACGTTTTCCCGGAATCTCCTCAGGATGCAGCTTGGCACGTGAGAAGGGGGTCTTGATTCCTACTGTCTCCTAGCCAATTAGTCCCACTGACTCTGGAGTCTGGACTCTGGAGTCTGCATTCAAAGTCTACGTATCTA